CAATGAGAAATGTAATTGTGTTGTATACCTACAATGTACCAATAAAAGAATTTAAAAAATAAATAAATAAAAATAAATAAATAAATACATTGTTTTTCTGGTGTGAGAAACTGAAAGTGTAAATAAGGACAAAAATGCATAATAGATATTGGGAGATGGAAAGAAAATGTTCAGATGGGAAGGGACACAAGTTAGGGGAGAGTGGGAAAGGAAGAAACAAGAAAAAAATAGAAGGAAAAATGGAAACAAAGTTTTTGTAAATAAGGAGGGGAAGAGGGGTTAAAGGGAAGGGAAGAAGATGGGAAAAAAATAGGAAGCAAGATATATCATGTAGAGGTCCAGATTCCCTATGATGAATGTTATCATTATGCATAACTAAAATTACCAATAAAATCTTTTTTAAAAAAACAAAAGAAGGTAACTCTCACGTACTGGTGGTGGGAATGCAAATAATTAGTATAGCTATTGTGAAAAACAGTCTGGAGGGTCTCTAAAAAACTGGAAAGAGAACTGTCACATAATCCAGCAATCCCACTACTGGGTCCATATCCTAAGGAAATGACATTAATAATGTCAAAGAGATACCAACACTCACGTGTTTACTGAGGCACTATTCACAATTGCCAAGATGTGGAATCAACATAGATTTCCAACAACGGATGAATGGATACAGAAAATATGATGTATATATACAATGGGATACTATCCAGCCACAAAAAAATTCTGTCACAGCAACATAGAAGGAACTGGATGACATTATAAGTGAAATAAGCCAGATGCATAAAAACAAACCATATGTTCTTATTTATAGATAGAAGCTAAAATGGGGAAAGGAGAAAGGGCCTTGCTAAGTTTCCCAGGCTGATTCTAAATTCTTGATCCTCCTAACTCAATCTCCTGTGTAGCTGGGATTATAGGCATGTGTCTGCCACCACCCCTAGCTAAGCTTACACATTCTTAACATATATCTTCTGCATCATTTATACTTCACATAAGACTTCCGTTGACCAATACTGTTACTGAATCATGTCTTTATTGAAGTAGGGCTAATTACTGAAAAAATCTAAACTTTAAATGACACAGAAATTAAATACTGACTTTAAAACAATTCACCTCTTAATGAAGTTATCAAAAATTGAAAAAGCCTAAAGTTATACTATAAAGATTACAAAATAACTATAAATACTTTGGGTATAATACCGAAGATTGAACCTAGGGCCTCTGCATTAAGCTACATTCCCAACCTTTTTATTTTTATTTTTTTGAGATGGAGTCTCATTAAGTCACTCAGACTGAGTTCCAATTTGTGATCCTCCTACTTCAGCCTATCAGAGTGCTGGGATTACAGGCATGCACCACTACACCCAGCAATAGGTGAATACATTTTAATGTCCCATGAATAGATAGAAGAATTAATATAGGGTTGGATGCTAGTTGACTATTACCTGCTCTAGAGAACAGACAAATATAAACTCAACTCACAGAAGGAAAATAACTTAAAATGTGAAAAGAAGGAAAATATCCCAAATTAAAATGAAATGAAGAAGACATTATGTCTGAACAGAAAAGGCCAGGAAAATCTGCAACATGGAAATATGCATAGGAGTGAAATAAAGGTAGAACACAGAAAAGCCTTAAAGTGCACAGATGGATCTATTATAGATTTTCAATGAGGCAATGGACCTTAAACATTTCTTGTTTGGCTGAACTCTGGGAGAAGCAAACTTATCAGTAATGACGTCATATTAACAGTACTTAAAATCAACACATAAGTAGCAGGGTTACTGGTTTAGATAAGGCAAACTTTTACAGCTTTATATAGAGCAAAAGCCAAGTCTTATAAATAAGGTCCACAGAGTGCAGTAGATTTTCAAAGCATGTAAAGAATATTCAAACTCTTACCTTCAAGGATGTCAGTTCATCTGCCCACATTTCTATTATAGGAACAAGATGTTCAAATCCACAGTCTTGAACAAAATCTTTGTTAAAATGTTGGGTTCCTTCTTTGCTCTGTTTATAAATTATCACTGGAGCTCTTGGATTGTGAATAATTGAATTGATGCTACATAGCACCTTAAAAAATATAGTATTTTTAGTTAAAATATTTATCCTAGTCCTATAAAGTGATATACATTAAAGGAGTGCTTTATATGTCAACATAATATCATTTTCAGAGCTCATAAGTTCAGGTATCAAGAAGCTCTTTAAGATGTTCCTGCTGGCTTGTACCACTGTGATTCAAAGCTGCCCAGCAGCAAGACATGAGAATTATGACCACATTGTGAACGTGTTAATGAGATTTGACACTTGTAATCTGTTGGTAATACAGTAGCTTAATTAACATGGTTAAATGTAGAAGTTCTAATAAGAACCAAAAACTAGGGCTGGGGATTTAGCTCAGTGGTTCCAGTGCCTGCCTCACAAGGGCAAGGTCCCGAGTTCAATCCCGGTTACCAAAAAACAAAAAATGAAAAAAAAAAAAGAACCAAAAACTTCAAAGAAAAACTAAAATGAACTTTAAAATGAATTAGACCTGATAAACAGTTATGAATGACCTATTATAATCCACGTGAAGAATAGTAATTATCCAGATATCCTTAACTACATTCCCTGCATTTCCCTATTTCTGTCCCTCATATTTAAGCTAAATAAGGATATTAGAAAGGGCTTTTCCATTGTTTCATAACTTCGGCAAGTTCAAAGTGAAGATAGTTACTAATAAAGCCTCACACATTCTAACAAGAAGTCCTGGACACATCATGTAAGTCTGGGTAAGAGTTGATCAAACTGACCCTAAATGGTGATCAGCCCATCAAAGAAAATGTTAGACAGGCTCACCTAGAAGAGCGTTTTTAAAAGAATAGACAGAACTAATGGAAAATACTGTTTTGTTGTTCTTTTCTTAACACAGAAAGTTATAGCAAACAGGTCTTCTGGGAATTTGGCTTCAGATACTTAAAAGCAGTTTTTTTGTTGTTTTAGTGTAGGAGGGTATATTTCAATATTTTACTTCTTATATTTAAATTCATCCATGAATACCATTTTAATTGAAAAAAATTCTTCCACTACATTATTAATTAGAGTAGGAACAGAGAATAGTACCCTCTTGCCCCTCCATGCCAAAGGTTAAGAAGGTAGCAGGAGAACTCAAAGAGAATAGGGAACTGATAATATCTGAGCTTCAGTAGATCATAGGGTAATCTTCATGACAGGAACAGCAAACCAAGTGTATTACTTGAATGTTTAGCAGTATGTATATATACTTTGTCTTAGACTGTTGGCAAAAATGATCACAATTATTTCTTGTCCTTATATTCTTGCATATTTGCAGTATGACACTACCCCTTGATCTGGGCTGGTCTTGGTCCTTGCTTTGACCCTCAGAAGGTGCTAGAAAGAATGTTAAGCCAGTTCAAAGCCCAATTCTCAAGAGGTTTTAATCATTTTTACTTTTTCTCTCTCCAGTGTGTTGCTGCCATATGGCAAAGCCCAGAAAGGACTGGTAGATAATGAGACACCTGGACCAGTCACCCCCATTGCTCTGAGATAATATTCACTGAACTCCCAGAAGCAGGGCCACTGTACTAACTTGTATTTCACAGCAGATGCATAGCCAACATCAAGAGAACTACCCAGTTGTTGAAGCACAATATAAAAGGTCACAATAAGAAAAGCCTGCTATTTTACATTGTGAAGGGGTAAGAATACATTCTGGCCAATTGGATAATCTGGTAGAGAGTTAAGCTTGGCTTTCAAAAGAAATAACTGCCTATGGCTGAAGGATCTGGGAGAGGCGAGGAATTCATAAGAAGTCAACTGGAAAATGTACTGCTCACAAACTTAATATACTGCCATAGTCCCTAGTTAGTGGAAAGGAAATAAACATATATACATGTATGTGCATGCACACAAATGCATGTGTATGCACACACACAGACAAGCATCCTATGAAAGAGAAACAGAGGCAGTACTTGGACATCAGCCATACACAAGACACTAGTGCTAGAATACACTAGCACCAGTCAACAAAGATTCTACTCTCTCTATTCTCACCCACCATCTGCCCTTTACTGCCAATCCTGGAAAAGCCAAGGACAGGGAAAGAAGATGGAATAAACAGAATAAATAGATCATATTCCTTGCCACACTGCTTGTCTTCAAAAGGACAGACCAGGCATGAGACACAGAGTATAGGCATCAAGTTTAATAAACTGTGAATTGGATGAGGAATGAATGATTGAGACCTGAATGGACATTTTTCTCCCAACTTTTCATTATAAAAACTTTCAAACAAATATTAAAAAATGTATGTATGTTAAAACACTTTTTTCCAGGGTTCTTCAGAGAAACAGAACAGAAAATATATGTGTGTGGGTATAGCATCTAATCATTTGAAGACTAAAATGTATATAGTTCATTACATATATACGTTTGTATATAGTTCATACACATACACACATGCACACGCACACACACACAGATTCATTATAAGCAATTGGTTCACACAATTACGGGGGCTGACAAGTTCCAAGATTTGCAGTCAGTGAGTAGAGATCTAGGATCACTGATGTGTAGTTGCATTACCAATATCTTTGAAGTGTTAATGTTTCAGATAAAGTCCAGAGGGGGGAAAAAAATGATGCCAAAGGCAGCCAGGAAAGAGGAACTCCTTCTGACAGAGAGATAACTAAAATAAACAGTTTTCAGAAAGGAGCCTAGAACCCATTCACAACAGCAATAAAAGCTATTAAATACCTGCAAAATGAACTTAACAAGAAATATATGAGAACTAAATTTAAGTATGTTAAACTTTATTGAAGACTACAAAAGAAGACCCAAATAAAATTACATATTTCTGAATAGGATGATTCAAAACTGTAAAAGTATCATTTCTCTAAATATTAATGTTTTGTTTTTGGTATCAGGGATCGAACTCAGGACCTTGCGCTTGCGAGGCAGGCAGCAGCACCAATGAGCTAAATCCCTGGCCCTAAATATTAATCTGTAAAGTCAATCCAATGAGATTTTATAACTTGAAAGTTGTTCATCCAGAAGGACACATATTAATATTTAAAGGAATGTTAATTAATTCAAAATTTAAAAGCTTATGTAGGTCCAATAAAATATGAGTACAGGTCTGATTCAAACTACCAGACTTAATTGCTGATATATTCAATAAATAATCTATAAATCAAGTAATGTTAGATTCCTTTCATGACACCACATAGAAAATTAAATTTCACATAGAGTAAATATTTAAACAACAGAAAAACTATAAAAGGACCCTAAAAAATAGATTTACTTATGAAATAGCAACAACAAAAACAAAAGGAAAATGGCTTCAGGGAGAGCATTATCTTTTAAAACTCTTAATCAATATGCTTTTTCTTGCCATTATTAGCTAGACAATTATTATTATTATTACTTTTTGTAGTGCCAGGATTGAACTCAGGACCTTGCTCTTGCAAGACAAGCAAGGTGCCACTGAGCTAAATCCCCAGCCTATTTGCATAGCATTTATGTTGTATTAGGTATATGTAATGTAGAGATGCTATTTTATATATATTTATTTGAGCATCTGCAGACTTTGGTATCCACATGCATCATGGAACCAATCTCCCACATATACCAAGGGACAACTGTACAAGTATTCCTTACCAAGTGATAATGAATCACACTGCAACCCAAACCAAGTCCATTACAAACACCACTGTTTTTGTCAGCTATTCAATACCTGAGAGTATCTCTGGTCAACTAGAGCTTGGTGATGGCTTTCTTTGCTGGATTCATCTTTTTTCTCTGTGTCCTCGGTTTTTGTATGACTGATAAGCTCCTGTAATCTAAAGGAGGAAAAATATTAAAATAATACAAAATGTTTTCCTAGATACTAGTTTAAGATAACAATCTTAAATCAATGATCCAGCTAGCCTCTTAAAAGTCTGGCATTTTATATGTGTATGTGCAAATGTGCATAAAGTTAAAAAATTTTTAAGTCATATTGCCACTGGAAAACATTAAGGTCCTCCCAAGAGACCACAAATTAGAAGGGATCCCTGAAAACTGAAGAAAAAAAATTTCTAATCACCCTCTAACACCAATGAAAAGCAGCATGGTGAAGAAATACAACCAAAGATGAAAACAATTTCCAGGGCCGGGGATTTAGTCTGTTAAAAACCTTACAGCTTTTAACTGTGTTCTATTGAGGCTTTTCCATGATCTCATGGTAGATAGAGATTCCTGCTGGAGATGAGGAACAAGTTCAAAAGTGAGTTGCCAGTTTTGTTTTTAAAAATTACAGGAATATAATCATACTGGTACGAAACACAAAGGTGCATCAGTGTGAGCCTCTCAAAGTTGTATTTTTCCCAGCTCCAGGCCAAAATCCTGCACTATCTTTAGGCCCAGCAAGAGGGAAGGGCTTTGCCTTGCAGCCTTGTGGAGGAAAGCTACCTTCCTCATACCATGTAAGACACACACCCTGTGCACTGAACTCTCTGGAGGCAGTTGCTGTCAAGGACTAATTCCCTCCAGTGTCAACCAAGCTCACATCCTTAGCCCAAAGACCTCCATAAGGGGCTTTTTACTTGGGGGCTTTAACTGAGGCATTTTTCAGGATCTTCTGCCAAGATCGCCTTATGGGTAAGGCAGGCATTAATAAAATTCTTTTCTCATCTCTCAGTACTTTTCTACTCCTAGCCCTCTACTCTCATTCCTCATAAAACAAGATCCTTTTGTGGAGAGTGCTTAGGGAGTGAGACTGTTACTCCCTGCCAACCTGACTGCATGTCACTGACCCTCACATGTCACTATTCTTTAGGGAAAAAAAATCGAACCTCGGGGAGCCAGCCCTTTTTCTTTTGGCCTCTTGCTTATACTACTGCAGTAAGTGAACAAAAATTTGATTGTTAATTTCAGTTTGCCACACTGGCCTAATTGACCCCTTTGACCTGTGTCAGCTTAATACTAGGGTGGTTGTATTCTGATTTTGTTTTCCCTCATCAAAATATAAACACTATGAAACATTAAATCAGTGCACTTCCTTTGGTTATCTTGCTCTGGTAGACCACTCTGATCACTTCTTAGGTAAAATAATTTTATTTTTTTAAAAAACCCCATTTGCAATATTAACTCAAATAAGAAGAGACTATGTTCTCTGAAGTTAAATTATTAATAGCCTCATTTTATATTAAAGGTTGGTTAGTTTAAACAAATCTTAAAATACAAACAAAAACCTGCACACAAATGAATTTTCTCTGCTTCCAAAAGGGAAAAAGACTCTTCCTTTTTGTTGTAGCTTTTTCTCTAGAAACATTAACTGTAAATCCTTTCTCTTTAGGATATATGTAAATCTTTTTAAGAGCTACATAAGTATATCTTGTTAGTTTTGCATCCCAGGAATGTCCTCCTTGGAAACCTTGGAAATATCTCTTTGAAATGTGATTATCAAGAAGATGATGCCTTCACCCTATCATTGTCAGAGTTTAACCTAGGCTGCTGGTTCCAGGTTGTTACTTCTTGCTTGTTATAAAGGCACTACAGGAGGCTGGGGATGCAGCTCAGTGGTACAGTGCTTACCTAGCATGCATGCACAAGGCTCTGGGTTCAGTCCTGAGATCTGGGAAAACCAACCAACCAGCCTTTGATACAGACAATTAACACATACATATGAACTGTATCTGCCTGGCTGTATCAAAAGGCGAGATTTCTATTTGAAATCTCTTTAGCACATTCCTGTAACCACATCACAGTCAATGAATGTTTACTCAGTAATAAAACTATTTCTTTTCTACATTTGTAGAGAAAATTCACTGGGGTGGCAGCTTTTATTTTTAATTATTTCTCAAAGTAATATTCTACCTTTGGCACTGCAGAAAATAACCTAAAAAGCTTAGTGCTAATTATTAAAGTGGTAAAGACAGAGCCATGGAGTAAGAATGATTGAGGATCTGATTTCTCATCAAGTTCTTCCACCTATCATCTGTGTAATGTGGGCAAGTTATCTATCCCTAAATCTCTATTCACATCAAAATACTGCAAACGTTCTAAACTAAAAATAATGGATAAAATACAACAGATTTTAATTACAAAAACACTACGATAATCATTTCTTCAAAATTCAGCAGAAAAATATAGTTCATTTTCGTTTGAATACAGTAGTATTCATTTGTTGTGAATCAATTTTAAAGGAAAGTACAATAATAATACCAGATAAAGACCATTCTAAAGACCAGAACCCAAATAAACAACAAATTTTTTTATGGTAGATAAGGTTTATAAAGTCATCATGAATACTGAATTATCAAATACTAAAATGAACCACTGCTCCTAGGGGAGATAGAGCATCAGGTTACTGCAAGGCTTTGGTCACATTTTCCTTAACTGACCAATAATGTGTATCTGTACTTAAAGACACCTTACTTAAAAGAATATTGTTCATTCACTAATATTAAACTCCTAGCTAACAGTACTCCCTAACTCATGCCTTGAACAAAGCTTATCTACAGGTTTTTACTATAAGGCACATGGATTGCCTTTTCATGGGTAGACAAGAACACTAGACAGCACTCCAGTACTGTGCTTGGTGGCAATTTTAAAGAAACACCAACAAAAAGCATAAAAATGCAAAAGAAGTGACACCAAATAGTAAAAAAAGACACTTGTTTAAAATATGAGAGTTGAAATAAAAGAAGATAGACCATCAACTTGTTCAACAGCTAAGAGTGTGTGTGTTAGATGACTCAAATTTTGCCACTCTGAGTCTGCCCATAAGTGATTATGAAAGTTCTATGATGACAGACTTGGGGGTTACAAGTTTTAGTAGGTAGGAAAATTGACGCATATAGACTTTGAATACTGAGGACTGAATGACTGTATATCTCTATGTACCTACAAGTGGATACATTTATGAGTTTGTATATCTTCACTAATATACTGGCTTAGAGTCAACAGTTTTTCTCCTCCTTTGATTTATCTTCCCACATCCAGTTGCTTCTCTCCTAATTTTCCCATCTCAGTTAACAGCACCAACAACTACCTAGTTATTCAGGTCTAAAACTTAGGAGACTTTTGTTTCTTCCCCACCCCCTCAATCCCTATAGCCAACCCATCACAAAGTACTTTTAGTTCTACCTCTAATATTACTCCAATTCCAAACACTTCCAGACACCTCCACTATTGCCACCACTGACCTTATCACTCCCACCTCTTGTCCAAACTCATACAATAGCTTCTTTCCCACTGTTTTACACTTAGTACTTATATTGAAATTGTCTTATTTATTCTTTTGTTATTCTTCTTTCTTTGTAACATCTCCATGAGGGCAAGGGCCTTTTCTATTTGGTTTACCACTACAACACCAGTCTAGAATGCCAAGCAGATAGTAGGACCCACTATTATGCACCCAAAATATCAAGCAATAATGGAAAGGCAAAAATTACGCTTCCTCACCAAACCTACTTCTTTTATTTTTCCTGTCCAACTATATTAATTCAACTAAATAGGTAATTCCTGTGTGCTCATATTTGCCTTTTACTGTGATATATGTTGCCACAGGAAGAAGGAATCACAGCTCTCAATGAAAACTGAATCAAATTATGCTGATACAGGACCGGGGATTTAGCTCAATAGTTCTGCCGCCTGCCTCACAAGTGCAAGGTCCTGAGTTCGATCCCTGGTATCAAAAAAAAAAATTATGCTGATACAACTGACTTAGTTTATGCACATATTAACTCAAGAGTTTTCAAAATATTTCATCCTACTGCCCTCAAATTATTGAAGTCTAATTCCCTTGAATCAAAGAGTAAACACAGTTCATCTTTAGGAAATACTATTACTATTAGAGATCAACCTTTTGAAACACCTTTAAGTGCTTGCTTTTCAAAGCCAGGGAGGGTAAGAGTGGTGGATAAGAATGGCTTACTGTACACCTTCTGATACTTTTAAAGTGACAAGGCTTATACTTGAAATTTTCAAATCATGATTATCAACAAGAAAAACTGGGAATTTGTCATCTGCAATTTCATTGATTCTCTTCCAAGGCTTTCATTACTTCCAAAGAATTTTCTATTTAAAATATTTTTCCTTTTCCCTTACTACATCAGACAACTACCTTTTCCTTCTTTGTATTTAAGATGAACAAATAGCCAAATCCAATACAGTGGATATTGCTTTTAAACTGTGGCACCAGAAATGCCTCCTTTTAATGTCATTTTCCCCACTAGGCTGACAATTCCACACCAAGGCTACTATGAGGTAGCATGAAGTAAGCGGACAGGTAAGTAAAACCAAACAATAAAACAAGAAACCCTAGTAAAAACTGTAACTTTAGTAAAATATAATTACTTAATGTTTTTCTTGAGGACTTTCTCCAGTTTCTTCACTTGTTGCTTATAAAGTCTTAATTCATGTTGTGTGGGCCTGTAGAAAATAAATCATGTTGAATGCATGCAATTTATTGAATAAAACTATAAAAGTAGACAAGAGGAGGCTTCCGGGCCACCGTACCCCCCTCCAAGCACAGAGGAGGTGAGCCACTCCCAGCGCACAAGAGGAGGCTTCTGGACCTGTGTATGCGCCCCCCCCGCCGCCCTGCCTGGGTGAGCATAGAGGCGGCGAGCTGCTCCCAGCACACAAGAGGAAGCTTCTGGGCCACTGTACCACCACCCCCC